TTTCTTCCATTTGTATTATCTTGTCTTACCCCTCCTTTCCTCTTATATGTCATTTTGTATAACCCTGAGGATCGCCTTCCATTTCCATGCGATTTCCCTTCTCACTTCCTTTCCCTCCCACCTCTCACCCCTGTTATTGTAAATCTGAAGAAAGGAATTTTGAGTATTATTTTTTTTAAAAAAACATAATACATTCTAAATTTGTGTAATTTACTTTTTACTAATGGCAGTGTTTCATAGCTGGCTCACAAAATTCCTGAAAATTTAATTATTGACTCTCACAAGTCAAAAAGAAACAGTTCCAGCATAGCATTGTTATGTAACTTGTAACTGTCCTATAATAGATGTAACCCTCAGGGTCAAGAAGTAGAACATTTGGTCCCTCAGAAGTTATGTTCATGATCTCTTCTAATTTCTGCCATTTTTTTCTTTCCCAGAGGCAACCACTCTTCTGCTTTCTAGTGCTATAGATTATCTATGCCTYATTTGAAACTTTATGTACAGTTAAACATTCTTTTGCATCTGGCTTTTTTTTTTTTTTTTGCTAAATATATTTGTGAGAGTCTTCCATGCTGTTGCAAATACACTAATTTATTTTCATTGTTATACAATATATGTGTAATTAAATCTATTTCCTTTCTTAGTTGTACTTGGACACAGTACCTTTATTTATTTATTTTTATGTGGTGCTGAGGATCGAACCCAGGGCCTTGCATGTGCTAGGCGAGTGCCCTACCGCTGAGCCCCAGCCCCAGCCCAGTTAGAACTATTTCTTGTCAATGGATATTTGAATTGCTTTTAGTTTGGAACTGTTATGAATAATGCTACCTGAGATCATTATATTCATCTCCTTTGAGGTGTGTGTGTGTGTGTGTGTTTTTCTGGAGAGTATATCCCTAGGAGTGGAATTGTTGGGTTATAGGATTTCTATGAATTAAACTTTAGTATATAATACCAAGTACYTTGGCAAAGTAGTGATCTAGTTTCCATTCTTACCTGTGGAGAATGATGCTACCCATGCTTGCCAGCATTTAATGTTGCCAGTCTTTTTTAGGTGTAATCGTATTACTTGTGATTTTACCAGCATGTTTACTGTGTATTGCGCATTTGCCTTRTAACTTATGAGATTGAAAACCCTTTCGTATGCTTATTAACCATTTGTATTTTCAGTGACTTGGTCCTAAGAAATATTCTGGCCTTTGGGTAGTAAATCACAGCACAAATTTTTTTAAATATTATGGCAGCTAATTTATAACATTATAAATTATAATTATAACATTATTATGTTATAATAAAGTAGTTTTTTTGTTTGTTTGTTTGTTTGTTTGTTTTTTGTACCAGGGACTGAATTCAGGGGCACTCGACCACTGAGCCACATCCACAGCCCTGTTTTGTGTTTTATTTAGAGACAGGGTCTCACTGAGTTGCTTAGCACCTTGCTTTTGATGAGGCTGGCTTTGAACTTGCAATCCTCCTCCTCAGCCTCCTAAGCCTCGGAGACTACAGGTGTGTGCCGCTGTGCCCGGCTAGTTTTTTTTTTTTTTTTTTTTAAATCTAAACCCTTTGATTGAACTTATGATCTGTAATTCTAACCTCATTTGTGGAAGTTGGTGTTTTTTTACAAAAACCCACACTTGGTTTTCTTTTCCAGTATGAACATCAGCTTAGTCTTTGAGAGAGGGGATGAGCTCCTSGGTCACAGGAAGGTTCATATTCAAATCTTTTAACCCCTCGTTCAAAAGACTGCTCAACATATTTTCATAGACTGAATGGTTTTGCTGTGTTCAAACCTTGCTCATTGACTCCCACTTTCAATCCCACTTACCCATTGAATCCCACTGTTCAGGGCTATTATACTAGGAGTTCATGAGCTCTGTTTCAGTGTGGTATTTCATATATAGTAAGATTAAATGTGCCTCTTAGTAGCCATATTTAAATGTTTTCTCCTTTCTTAGGATGGTTCACTCATGCTAGCTTGTCAGTGTACTACAGAAATGGTAGAATAGAGCACAAGACAACCCCCCTACTCTGGTCTATTTATAATATAGCAGCCAGGGAATTCCTTTTAAACATAGGTCAGATTATGTTCCTCTTCGGTACAAAAACTTCCATTGATTTTCTGTCTTAGACTAAAAGCCGAAGTCCATATAATGGGCTATAAGGCCCTACATGGACCGGCATCCGTTACCTCTGACCCACTTTCCCCCTCCTCTTTCTCCTTTTTGTTAGTTTCCTTGTTGTTCTTGGAACTGACCAAGCCTACTTCCACCTTGAGGCATTTATACTTGCTAATTCTGCCCCTAAATGTTTTATTACGTATTTTGCTTTTTTACATACTGTGTCCTCTAACTTGCATGTGTGCTTCATGATGGCAGGGTTTCTATGTATTTGTTCATTGATATATTCCCTGTGTCTGGCACATATTAAGTACTCATAAATATTGTTGAAAAAAAACCAGATATATTGGTAAGTATGTAGAATCCTCTGGATCTATTATTTCAACCTAAATGTGTTTTGTATTAGTTTTGCAGTGCAGTACATGACACCAGAATTATAAAGCACTGTTTTGATATATCAACCTGTTTTACTTTGCAAAATAATCTTAGGGGAGAATGCAGTTTAGCGACCCTGTCCAACTTTTCCTGGGTTTGCTGCTCACATCGGGGTAGGAGTAGCCCAGGTGTGTGCTGCAGGATGCCAGAGTGAACAAAATTCACCGATTCTGGAGCTGAATCACCTAGGTTCTAGCTGTGTGTCTTTGGACCATTTACTTATCCTCTCTATTCCTCAGTTTTCTCATCTGTAAAGTAAAAATAATAAAAGTATCGACCCTGTGGGACTTTTAGGAAGAACAAGTGAGTTAATATATGTCAAGAAGTTACAATAGTGCCTGCCACCCAGTAAGTAGTGTATGACTTTAAGCTATCAGTCTATCATGCTGAACAGATATGAAAGAGAACACGAAGTTACTTTTTTTTTTTTTGCATTTCTTTTTTTGTTAGTTGTTCAAAACATTACAAAACTCTTGACATATCATATTTCATACATTTGATTCAAGTGGGTTATGAATTCCCATTTTTACCCCATATACAGATTGCAGAATCACATTGGTTACACACCCACGTTTTTATATACTGCCATACTAGTGTCTGTTGTATTCTGCTGCCTTTCCTATCCTCTACTATCCCCCCTCCCCTCCTCTCCCCTCCCATCTTCTCTCTCTACCCCATCTACTGTAATCCATCTACTGTAATTCATTTCTCTCCCTTGTTTTTTTTCCCTTTCCCCTCACTTCCTCTTATATGTAATTCTGTATAACATTGAGGGTCTCCTTCCATTTCCATGCAATTTCCCTTCTCTCTCCCTTATGAAGTTACTTTTTTAAAAAAAGAAATAATGAGATGTGCAAGGAATCTTGCACTTGCCTTGGGCCAGTGAGTCCAGGCAACACTGGGCAAGGAGAGACTGTGGCTTTACAGAAACAATCAAAGGTCAGCTCTTATTCAGCTTAGACATCCTCATGACTTCAGGCCAGTGGTTTTATTACTGATTAGCCAGTAATCATGTCAGGCAACTCACTGCCTAACAAGAGATTTGACTTCTTTGTTGGACAGGACCATTGTTAGAATAATTCTTTCTTTTGTTGATCTGAAATCTGCTTCTTTGTTACTTGATATGGGTCCCTGGTTCTTTTCTTTGGAGTAAGATGAAGYAGGGTAGTTGTAGTTGGTTGCGTTGCTGGATTAGCATTTTCTTCTGCAGCTTAGAAGTCCCTAATGTTCTTTTCCTTGTGGCATATTTTTTAAACCTTTGTCACCCTGGACATCCTTCCCTGGCTATAATTTGTTTGTCAGTATTTTTTAAGATGCAAAGCAAGACTAGCAACAATGCCCTGTGAAGGCTTGTTAAGCTTTAGTTGTATAAATTTCTCTTGTATTCCTTAGTTATTTTATTTCTAGAATAATTTAAAAATAATTGTAGAGTGTTCCATTGATTTGTTTAAAYAACTTTGTAGCATTGGCCTGTTCGTAATATAAAATGTGACTCTGTGCTGAACTTATATTATGTTTGTTTGGTAGAGGTGCCAGAAATTTACTTCTCTTTTTGGGGGGTACCAGGGATTGAACTCAGGGGCACTCAACCACTGAGCCACATCCCCAGCCCTATTTTGTATTTTATTTAGAGACAGGGTCTCACCGAGTTGCTTAGTGCCTTCCTAAATTGCTGAGGCTGACTATGAACTTGGGATCCTCTTACCTCAGACTCCAGAGCCACTGGGATTATAGGTGTATGCCATTGTGCCAGCAAATTTCCTTCTTTGGATAGTGTCAGTATTGATATGTCATTGAAATGTGAGGCTCTTTCTTGAAAATTTAATTTAATACTGCTGCCATATTGCCCGGATATATTGTTTATTTAAGGGGTCAGCTCACTAGAATACTGTTTGGTCTTTACCTGGTGGCTAAAATAACAGGAGGATCTGCAAAAGGGAGCTATTTAGTCCCTTCTCAGCACTTATTGTTCCTTTTGTTTATCTCAGAAGAAATAGGATCAGAGAAGGTCACCCTGTTCTGTTGTCTTTTTTCAGGAGGTTGACTCACTTTAACCATTTCCACCCTTCATTTTTATATTAGGTGGTAACTTGGGGCTGATGCTATGGGCATGGTATTTGGCTCTGCCTGTCAAAGTAGTTCCCTAGTTGAACTATCTCTGGCAAATTAGTGTTTTATGTAAGTGTCTTCAAAGCTGAGTGAATTTTGGCAATATTCCATAGCTAGAAACCCTAGTATATACTTTTAAAATAAAGCCACCATGTCATTAAATGAATAATTTGGGGTAAAAGCATATTGCTTTAATGATCTTAGAAATATGATTTGAAGTGGTCATTTTATCATTGTCATTACAGTGACTTTATGATGGGCCTCAAAAACCCACTGGAAGAAACCCTGAATCATGAGGGGTTACTTATGGTTAAAGGAAAAGGCTCAGTAAGATGCAGTTGCCCAATCCTGGACTATTCATCGTCTGCAGCCTCTTTCTCAGATTCTTTGGAGAATCTAATAGTTCTGCCTTCTTTAATTCATCTTAGACATGAGATGATCTGATGGAATGGTATGGATTTAGGGAGGCAGACAGACTGGAATAAATCTCCACCTTAAAAAATAAATCTCCACCTTCATGTTTACTAGTAAACTTAAATTACTTATCCTTATCTATAAAAAGAAGGAAAAATAATGTCTACCCTGCAGGTTGCTATATTTAATAATGTATATGGGATTTTCTGCTACATAGTAGTCTCAGTGAATTAATTTTCTGTTTTGTCATGTATTAATATTCTAATTATTCTGTAGTAGTGGTGGAAATCCTCYCCATTTACCAGTTCAGAGAGACTTTTTCTAGTCTGTTTGGATCTAGCAAGGAACATTTTCGTTTTATCTGCAATTATCCCCCTAAGAATGTAGGTTTGAAGATATTTATAATAAATTTGACCAGTTAATCTAATTCTGATATGTAGGGAAGWAAGGCATTTGAACAATCAGAAAACATGATTTTAAATTGTAGGAAGATATTTTAAAAATGATTATAGCTGGATATGTTGGCACATGACTGTTACCTCAGACACGGGAGGCTGAGACAGGAGGATCGCAAATTTGAGTACAGTCTGGACAACTTAGTGAGAACCTGTCTCAAAAAATAGAGCTGAGGGTTTAGCTCAGTGGTAGAGTGCCCCTGGTTCAACTCCCACTTAAAAAAAAGAAGTGATTATAACATTTTGAAAACTTAATGATGTTAATTAAAATGATCCTGTTATTGATCAGAACTTTTTTATACCTGTCCCCAGGGAAGAAAAAATATGCAAGATGGTGCAAGTGATGGTGAAATTCCAAAATTTGATGGTGCTGGATATGATAAGGATCTGGTGGAAGCCCTTGAGAGAGACATTGTATCCAGGAATCCCAGCATTCATTGGTTAGAGTCTTTTAAATTCTTGTATTAAAGTAGAGGAGAAAACAGATCATAGATTGACTTGGTGTTGAGCCTTTTCTTTTTATCCATTAATCTATTGATTATGTTCATTGATAATATGAGTACATAGAATTGATGGGAACCTTCTGTCAGAATATAACCAAGGAACCGGATGTGTTTGTGCACATCTGTAATCTCAGTGGTTAGGGGGGGCTGAGACAGGAAGATTCTGAGTTCAAAGCCAGCCTCAGCCACTTAGTGAGGCCCTAAGCAACTCAGTGAGACCCTATCTCTAAATAAAATATAAAAAAGGGCTGGGGTTGTGGCTCAGTGGTTTTGTGTGTGTGTGTGTGTGTGTGTGTGTGTGTGTGTGTGTGTGTATGTGTGTGTGTGTGTATATATAAAACCAAGGATATTTCACTTTAATTTGATGTTGATTTAACTGACAAAGTTCATTAATTAAATAACATGTCTTAATAACTGTAGTGTTTTCACTGATCATTTTATGCAGTAAGGATTAGAACAATATTCTTAATATTAAAATAATTTCATAAGTAAAAAATACAAAAGAATTAGTTTCAACCATAAATCATAGCATCCTGGATAAACATCATAAAACTTTGTTGTTCCTACACAGGGATGATATAGCAGATCTCGAAGAAGCAAAGAAATTGCTAAGAGAAGCTGTTGTTCTTCCAATGTGGATGCCTGATTTTTTCAAAGGAATTAGAAGGCCGTGGAAGGTGAGGATTTATTAAAGTAGTTTTGGTATAAGAATGTTGCTTGCATGGTAATGAAAGGCAGCATTGCTGGAGATGTTTATGTGTCTCACACGGTTTGTGAATGTCAGGGGAGGTCTGTGGACATCCAGAACACATGGGTTTGAATTAGGTGCTGTGGCTGTGTGCCAAACATGGGCTTGGAGGGTTGAAGCTATTGTCTTTTGTTTTTTTTCCCCTCTCAGGTCTGAGCTAGAGGCCAATTTTAAGAATTTCCAAGATGTTATTTCTGTAAATAAAAAATAAATTAAACAGCAATATCACATAGTCTTACAGAATAAGTGTTCGATCAAATGAATACCTTTTTTAAGTTGWTGTGTTTCTCACTAATCATTAGTTTTTCTGATTTTCATTTAATCGAGGCTCGGTATAATTCTCAGACAAAATCAGAAAGTTCGTTTCTTTCTAGCTTACCTGCTACCATAGAGTCAAAGCCTACCCAGGCCCAAGTCCCTTAAGTTCACAGTGTCATTCTACATATTAGAAACTCTCCCAAGCTCTCTGGAAACTACCTTCCTGCTTGGAACATTTTTTTTTAAACCTCTTTATTTTATTTTTATGAGGTGCTGAGGATCGAACCCAGGGCCTCGCACATGCTAGGCGAGTGCTCTACCGCTGAGCCACAACCCCAGCCCTATTTATTATTTTTTTTAACTTAGCCATAGGCAGAGTCTTCCATTTATTTTGATTAGTAGAATGTAATGAAAGCCTGCTCTTACTTTGCTCTTCTGGCTCAGCTAGAAAGGTCTGTTTGTTTGTTGAATGCTTCATCCTCTTTATTCATGTGCCAGAAAGAGAGGAGGACACATTGTGAATTTACCTGAATAGTCTGAAACACTCATAATGCTTAGACTGCCTCTCATAACTTGAAAGCTTTTAAAGACTGTATTTATTATAGATCACTTTTATTTCTAATATGTACTTTATTTTGATTGACAAATAGTATGTGTTTATGCAATACAGTGTGATATTTCAAACAGTATACAGTGTATAATGATAAAATCAGAGTAATTGGCATATCCATTATCTCAAATATTTGTCATTTCTTTATGTTGGAACATTCGGAATCCTCTTTAGCTAACATACAATTAATTGTTGTCAGCCATAGTTATCCTATTTGCTGTAGAACATTACAGGTTATTCCTCCTGTCCGGCTACTTGTTGACCACCTTCTTCCCATCCCCTTCTTTCCCATGCCCTTCCCATCCTCTAATATTGAGACCATTTTTTTTTAGGTTCCACATATAAATGAGAAAGTGTAGTATTTGTCCTTTTATGCCTCACTTACTTTACTTAACACGATGTCCTCATGGATTATTCCTGTTGCCACACATCACAAGGTTTCATTTTTCATAGGTGAATACTATTCCACGACAGACATATAACATTGTATTCATTAATTCACAAATGAAAGTCTAGGCTATTTCATATCTTGGCTCTTGTGAATAGTGCTACAATAAACAATGGAATGGGAGTGCAGATATGTTTTTGACATACTGATTTTATTTCCTTTGGATATGTACACTCAGTACTGGGATTGCAAGATTATATGGTAGTTCTATTTCTAATTTTTTTTCTGTTTTCCATAATTGCTGTATGATTTATGTTCCCACCAACAGTATTTAAGAGTTCTCTTTTGTTCGTATCCTTACCAGCACTTATTATGTTTTTATCTTTTGGTAGTAGCCATAGGGGTAAGGTGACATCTTATTGTGGTTTTGACTTGAATTTCCCTGGTGATCAGTGATGTTGAGCATTTTCCCATATACTTATTTGCCACTCATTCCTCATTATTGGTTTGTTTAGGTTTCTGTTTCTTCATGATGCAGTCTTGGTAGGTTATATGTGTCTGGGAAGTTACACATTTCTTCTAGGATTTCCAATTTGTTGTTATGAAGTTGTACGTAAAAGTCCAGAATAATCTTTGTATTTCTGTGGTATCTGTTTAATAAATCCTTTTTTATTTCTGATTTTATTTATTTACTTAGTTCTTCTTCCTCCCTGTCCTCCCTGCTCCCCTCTCTCTTCTTAGTCTAATTAAAGGTTTGTCGATTTTGTTTATTTTTTTAAAAACCCCAAATTTTCTTTTGTTGATCTTTTGTATTATTTTAGTCTCAATTTATTGTTTCTTTTTTCCTTTTTTCCCCTCCCTCCTTTCCTCCCCCTCTCCTTCCCCCTCCACCTCCCTCCCTTCCTTCTTTCCTCTCTCTACTTCCTTTCTTCCTTCTATTAGTTATGAGTATGGTTTGCTCTTGCTGTTTCAGTTCCTTGAGTTGTACTATTAAATGGTTTATTTGAGATCTTTTTCCTTTTTTGAAGAAGACATGTATTGCTCAATTTCACTCATAGTATTTCTTTTGCTGTTTCCCATAGGTTTTGGTGTTTTATGCTTCTTTTTTCATTTGTCTTAAGACATTTTAAAATTTCTGTTTTAATTCTTCAGGTTATTCAGTAACATGTTATTTAATTCCCATGTATTTGTACAATTCCCACAGGTCCTTTTGTTGACWTCTAATTTTATTCCATTTTATATGGTCAGAAATGATATATAATAATGATTTTGATTATTAAAAAATTGTTGAGACTTGTTTTGTAACAAGGTTTATCTTGGAAATTTTTTCATGTTCTGATGAGAAAAACATTAGGTGAAATATTCTGTAAATTGGTTCCATGTGGTCTATAGTATAGTTTAACTCAGGTTTCTTTGCTTATTTTCTGTCTGGGTGATTGATCTATCCATATAGGTGATGGAGTACCCAACTATTGTATTTGTAGTGAAGGTTAACCTGTGAAGGTTACTGTTGACAGGTAGTGATCTACTCTTGTCATTTATGTAATTTTTTTCTGTTTGTATTTCCTTTTAGATTTAGTAATATTCGCTTTTTATATTTCAGTGATCCTCTGTTGGGATGTGGATATACATAATATTTATTTATTTATATATGTGTATCTGTCTCCTCGAATTTATATATATCTATGTGTGTATATAAAATCCTCTTACCACTGTGTAATAACCTTCTCTGCCACTTTTTATGTATTTTTTTCTTTCACTGTTTTTAAGGTCTTTTTTTTTTAATTGGAACTTTGTAGGCATACATAGTATTGGGTTCATTCTGACAAACTTGTCCATCATGGAGATCAGTTTCAGTGGGTGATCCTCCCATTCTCCTTTCTCTACTAGACTTCCTTTTGCTTGTCTATTAATTTGTATTTGATTGGTTCTTTATGTTATCTTATCCTTCCCTCCTCTTTTACTGTACTGTACTCAAGCTTCTGCAATTGTCTTTTTATGATTTTTTGTGGTATTTTTTTTTTTAGTTGTAGTTGGACACAATACCTGTATTTTATTTATGTATTTTAATGTGGTGCTGAGGATCAAACCCAGGGCCTCACACATGCTAGGCGAACGCTCTACCACTGAGCCACAGCCCCTGCCCTTTTTATGATTTTTGATGTAGAGTTTGTTTTATCTGGAATGAGTAGCTACTAGCTTGCTTTTGGTTTTCAGGTGCATATAATATATTTTTCCATCTCTTCACTTTTGGTCTCTGGGTATCTTTATCAGTGAAGCAAGTTGTTTATAGGCAACATATAGTTGTGTTTTGCTTTTTTTTTTTTAAACCTAGTCTGTCTATATCTGTTTTTTAATTTTTTTTTTTTGAGTTCTAGCTGGACACAATACCTTTATTTTATTTATGTGGTGCTGACGATCAAACCCAGGGCCTCACATAGTGAGGCAAGTGCTCTACTGCTGAGCCCCAGCGCCAGCTCCTAGCTGTATTTTTTAACTGGAAAATTTAATTCATTTGCATTCAGAGTTACTGTTAATAGGTAGTGATCTACTCTTGTCATTTTGTTAATTTTTTTTCTGTTTGTATATCCTTTGTTTCTTCCTCTCTTATTGACCTTTGTGATTTGATACTTTTCTGTAGTAATAAGATTTCACTATTTTCTGTTTCTCYTTTGTGTATGTATTTAAGAAAGTCTTCCGCTTTCATGTGTTTTCATGATGGTAATTATCACCCTTTTGCTTCCAAATGTAGGACTCCCTTAAGCATTTCTTATAAAAATAATCCAGCTTTTTTTTGAGAAAAGCTTTACTTCTCCATGATTTCTAAAGAGTAGCTTTGCTGGGTATATTATTYTTGACTGGTAGCTGTTTTTCTTTAGCACTCTGCTGGCTTGCAGGTTTCTGCTGGGAAACTGCTGTTAGTCCAGTGTTGTAGATTTCCTAGCACATCACACTTTTTCTTTTGTTACTATTAGAACTCTGTCTTGAYTTCTGCACTTGGTTTTAATGTGCCTTGGAGAGAACCTCTTCCAGGTAAGCCTATGAGCTTTATGGGTTTGAGGTCAGTATCTCCCCCAAGACTTGGGCAGTGTTTGATGATTATTCTTTTTGATATGTTTCTGTGGCTTTCTTCATCTCTTTTCCTTCTGGAAACCCCATAGTTCAATATCTGATTGCTTATTAGGAATGTCCCAATTTTGCATAAGCTTTCTTTGCTCTTTTTATTCTTTTTTTAAATTGTTGTTGTTACCTTCTGAGTGGGTTAATCTAAAAGATCTGTCTTCAAGTTAAGAAATTCTTTCTTCTGCTTGATGTAGTCAATTGGATCTCAGTTGTTTCATTTCATTCTTGATTTCTTCAGTTGCAGGGTTTTTGTTTGATTCTTCTCATGTAATATTTTTGTTGAATTTCTTATTCAGATCGTGACTGACTTGTTTGTATTCCCTTATTTCTCAATGAACTTTTTAAAGATGATTATTTTGATTTCCTTTTGAAACATTTCACAAGTTTCCTTTTCCTTGATTCCAGTACTGGGGAATTATTGTACTTCTTTGGGGGTGTCATTTTTCTTTACTTTTTTTTTTTTTTTTGGTGTTTGTAGTTTTGTTTTTGTTTTTCTTTTCTACATTGATGTATGAGCCTTGGAAAGTTGCCCCTTCCAATTTTATGGGAT